CGCATTATGTTTATATCTAACATTATGATTCCTCTACTTTATTTGTATGAAATCTGTCGTTTTCCTTCATTTCAGAATTACTCAAAGGGAAATAATTTTCGTCATCTAAAATGATTTTTTCATTGGCAAAGTGTACCCACCTCAGTTGACGACAGCATCTTGGTATACAAAGGAGTTGCGCTTGAGAGTATTTGGTGTACTTAAGTCTCTTTCGATATTTAAAACCGTTCCTCCTCAGTTCCAACTATATCGTACTCTTAGAAGATCTGAATTGACGAGGCAATCTCCTTGTTAACATTCCAACCTGATTACTTGCTCTTCTCACCAATATGTCTGATATCTGTGCAGTGAATGCACGTGGTCTTCCACTTTTTGGGAGATTCAGATGGTATTCCCTACTCGCACTCCGCTATTGTTCGATAAATGGCTCTGTGTGAAACGTATTCATTCTGGAATATTCGATAGATTTCAGCTTTGGGTACCCGCCCAACCAACTTGTAGATGCTTTTTCGTATTTCTAATTTATACGACGAAAACTTCAAAATAACAACTGACAGTAAAGTAAGTAGACAAACTTTTGTTTCCAACGGCAACTTGACATTATTTACTGTTTGTTAAAATTAAAGCCAATGAATTTTATGCCAAAACCTTTAGGACATATGTTAGTAGTGGTACAGACGTATATTCTGGAAGGGAATACCAACACAATCTTTACAACATTTACGGTTGAACTACAATAGATTGGAAGAGACACGTAGTACCATGAATGAATTCATTCATTGACCAAAAACTTCTTTACCAAATCTATTCAGAGTATAAACCATTTCTATTACTTATTATATTTGCATTATGTTGACGTTTTCTATACTATGAAAAATAAAATTGGATTCTATTCCAATAACTTTCTTCTAGGATACTCAACCACAAAATGATCAAAATCGTATCATCACACCTAGTAGCAGCAAACAAGATTCTGTAGTTGCAGATATCACAAACCTTTTTGAAAAACCGTTCTTCAAAACTGTGGCTTCAAATATGGAACGCCCACAGTGTGAAATGTCCTATAAATGACACTCTATACATTTGGTTAATTTGGGACGTCGGTTCCGAGTATGGCTACCAACAGATATCAAAAAGCCGTGAAACCCTTGCTGGATTAAAAAAATGGAAATTCTGAGGCATTTCGTCAGTCTCAGTAGACCCCTTATTTTTTTAAAATGGCGTGAAGTAGGTTGACACTGCACTTCCCACAAAACGCCGATATAAGTTCATAAACGATTATGTTCAGCACAAACTAGACCCCTCTGATAAAAAAGTCAGTTAAACACGTCCATCCAATTAGTCTATAAGCATTCTTTCCCTGCCCTACCGGTACTGAATCTGGGAACGTCGCCTTTCCCCGATACTTAAAAGTGCCAAACGAGGCAGCGCAGTCAGAGCATAGGAAACACTATGCTGTGTGGCGGTAGAAATACGTGTAATAACATACCAGAACAGAATACTCACAAAGACCGGGAGCAGCAGCCGCGACCAGTAGGTACGCAATCCGCCTGCTGAGAATATTTTTTAGGGCTAATTGTTTAAAGTTTTCTTACATCTAAAACACAATATCTCACTTTCGAAAATTTTCGCGATTACAATACTTCCTCGCCAGTAGGCGCGGGAAGTGAAAATGCTGACTTGGTAGAGTCTTCGCACATTATCATCGAAACAAGTATACGAGGTTTGTTCAAAAAGTATCACGAATTTCATGTTTTTTCAAGAATTATTTATTTGCAATTTTTGTTCTTCCACAAATTCGGGCATTTCTGGCAGATTGCTTCTCTTAAATTGCGCATTACTTGAAAGTAATATTCCTTATTGACCGTTCTGTCCTTCGGCAAGAACTCATCAATGTTTTAGTCTGTTGTTGACGTCCGAAACGCTTTTTGTCGCTCACATCACGTTGCTTTTGTCCAAAGTAGCTTCGCCGTATGCAACAGTCAACATTTGGAAAATGTCCGCACACTTCAAGTTGTTTTTTTACACAAAATTTAATACAAATTCTTTGATCCCTTTTTTGGAATAGACAAAAATCGAAGACAATTTAATACACGTCCACGCACAATAGCTGTCAAAAACTGACTGAACATTCAAAATGGCCGATATTGTCAACATTAATGAGGGTCATGAGTACCAACGTAACGCCACAGATCGAAAATCGAACATACGTAGCCCGCGAATATTCAAAATTTGCGATACTTTTTGAACAAACCTCGTAGACAAAAACTTGATGCGTAGTTGATAGTTGAAAATGTCTCAACGCTTTGAACGTGGATTGTTCTTTTTGCTTCTTAAAACAACATTAAATCTATTGAATGGTCAATATAAGGATCATCCAGAGAACTGGAAGACGTATATGAGCAATTCTTCGGCCGGGTAGGAAATAGCTGATGATTGAGACGCTAATGCATGGAGTGCAGAATGTTAAAAAAGTCTTCGTCGTCGAGATACCTTATAATTTCCTATGCATTTATGTATGTTAATAAAGTCATGATATGGTTGCCACGGTTGCCACAGTCTGTTTCTGTGTTGTTGTGCCGTGGTACACGCGCGCGTGAATACAACAGCGCGCACTTGACGTCCTGTGCATGTTCTGTTGTTTCACTTTGCATGGTATCAACGGACCCCGGCATGGCGAGGAAATGGTAATGATGCTCCACAGATAATATCTCTTTTTGCTGCCCTGTGGAATGCCCGTGCCATTAGGATTGTTCATGCGGACTTACTATGTTTGTATATCGACCTGAATTAAAGAGAAATTTGGAGGCCCGCTGGCGACGAAGCAAAGCAGCCGCTAGGCAGGAGCCTAAAAATCGGGGCACTGCGGCTGCTGAAACGCCATTAATGACACTTTGTTGATCCGATTTTTGAGCTGCCCAAGGTTAGTAGGACTGCGTCCTTAAGCAGCTCTGTCCACAATCTCGACACACTAGGGACAAAGGAGCGGTCGCACTGATCAGTTCTGGATGTATGAAGTTCGACATGGTTAGGATTTGAGGCCGAAGTCAGGCGGGTCTGTCTGGAAGGCTCATCGTGCTCCGGCATTATAGAGGAGCGCTCTGAGGAGCAAAGCCCGTGGACATAGCAGTAGAAGCGAACCAGATCGGCGGCGGCTTGTCGGTGCGAAAGGTCTCGAGATTCGTTCAGCCCTTCTCTGAACAATATCGAGCATGGATAATGTAGTCAGGGCGTCAACACCCCAAACCTGTAAGCAGCTTACTCATGGATAGGTATTATCTGTAGAGAGTGAGGAGGTTATGTGGAGAAAAGTACTTCTTAACCCTAAGCAAATAGTCCTAGCTCTTTCCCAGCAGCTGTCGTGATTGACGAGATGTGTACGTGCTAAATCAAGTTCTCGTCGATCTGAACCAGCCGAAATGAATTGTTCTCTGGTAGAACTCGGTCTTCCATTAAAACCGAATGAAAGCTAGGGCACTCCTTGTTAGTCAAGGTACAATACTGTGTTTCGGAAACACTAAACTGTACCAGATTGTTACAGCACAAAGCAGTGATAGCAGGTGTCGATGCATAGGCCATCCACCATGCACTTTTTTGTTTACAACTATGGTAAATCAGAAGAAGCGCCCTCTTAGCAAAAGCAAAGCATGACCGTGGAGCCGTGCGAATCAAAATGACTGAATCACAGCATCTGTCCAAGTTAACCTATCCTCGTAGCTTTGCAGCGACTCAGAATATGCACGGCTGGAATCTATGTACTATGTTCCACTTTGTTCATTGCGAATGTTGCCATTAATCCTGAGTTAGGCTCTGACCGTCCACAAGATGCAAGGTTGCACAGTCGATTATGCAGTCATTTATCTAGGCTCGCGACTGTTTGCTGCTGGACAAGTAATTAAGAATTATTTTCTACTTTTTAGTCCAGTTAGCTATAAAAGCGTGATTTTTTAGTTTTTTTTAACTATTATTTATTTCTATATTCCAGAAGTATTTGTCTTACAGATTTTTGTTATGAAGTAACCCAATAAACCACACAAAAGCAATTATTACTATAGTATAGATAACAGATATTTTCATCAGTCTTTCAAAGATGCCCCTCGAGTCAACTTTTTCTTCGCATCTGGGCCAGCCAGTGCTGTTGAAAGTATATTTCCACATGTAAACCAAACATCTGTAAGGAATAGACTAAATGGAAATACCGACACTTTCATCGCAGTCCTGCTTTATTTACAAAGGCATATCGATATAATGCTGGTAGAGAGTGACAAAATTGTTTAACAAATAGTTATTTTCCAAGTTTTTCTTTCCAACATGAGAAATAAAAACTTGTATTTAACAAAAATAAAATTTGCGCATAAGGTTATTTCAAGGTTAATTAGATATGCTTAAATGAAGCCTCCTTTTTCACAATGAAATTGAAATGAGGAACAAATTTTACGTCACCTTAGCTATGACCTTGACTATTGCCTTCAAGTTCATTTCAAAATCAGATCAAGACATCGAAAAAAGGTGACCTTGCTCATGACCTTGATCATGACGTTCAAGATCAAGTCAAATCCTCTAAGGAAAATGTCTCATCTTCATACAGAAATTGGAAAAATCAGGAAATTTTACATCCAAATGTGACCTTGACCTCGAAGAACATCTAAGCAAGAGTGACCTTGACTTGGAGGTTCAAGGACACATTTTCACGTAACGTTTCCTGTTTCTTCTTTCATTCCAAGCATAAAAATCAGAGGAAAATTTTGATGTGACCTTGAAGGTCATGGCCAAAGTCACCTCTGGTTGATCCCCACAAACCTCACAACTGTGCTGTCGAACATTTTTGTTAGCGCAAATTGTTTTCGATTTATTGATTTGAAATGACCTTGTAAATCGAAGTCAGTCACTAAATAACACTAATACTTTGTATATGAAGGTATCAATGTAGCAAACTATCCTGGCGCTTAAACTATCTCTGACCTACACTCCTGATATCCCTGAGATATGTGACACATAATGTGACCCATAGATTTGACTTTGAGCAGAATACGTCAAACAACTTTTTGTACATTTTTTCCATTTTTTGTGTATTTTTTAGAGTTTTTCCTTCAATACATACTTATAATGACACTGATTCACAATTCACTCATGAAGAAATTGAAAGTGAAGTAATTATAAAGCCTACAACATAAGCAACAGATAACATTTAAACTACATTGCAGCTATTTGATCTATTCGCATATATCAGCAAAATTGTTGAGAACAGCACTCAAACCTGAATTGAAAAAGAACTTTGACAACAAGTACAGAAGCCTCATCCAGATCTTCAAATTCGAGAACAACAAAAAGGGCGACCTGGTTCAGACTTTGGTAATTGGAGAACGGAAAGAGGAAGATGAGCATCATGATGTAGCATATGAACAACAGAAGGCTGACCATCATAATTAAAAAATGCATCGTGTAATAGGTAAACATAAAAACACTTTTAAATGTGTTCAATTCTCATTAGACTGCTGGGTACAGATTCTTGAAATACATGCCGTTTAGCTATAAAGGTTATTGTGCACTCTCAGATACAACTATTAGACATTGACTCAGGCAGGATCCGTGTTTTATTACTGAAAGAAACATTTTAAAAAATGTTGAAGCATACTTTGTGCGGTATGGATGAGTACAAAATTAGTACATTTTGATTTTTTAATAGAAATATTCACGTTTTGATGTACATATGAAGGGTTGAAGTCCTAACTAGACATTTTAAACTTAGAATGTAAATTAAACACATTCTAATGACCAAACTATGTCGTAGATACAATTGTTTTCAATGAAATAATGTATATTTTTGATGTATATTATACTGAAAAGTAGATAAAACCTCGAACTCTACAGCCCCACACCCTCCCCAGCCACTGCAGCCTCTAACCCCCAATCTTTAACCACCATAAAAATTTTTCGAAAATGATCAGGTTAGTCTGATACGTCAAACAACGAAGTTTGAGCAAATTTCCTTTTTTTTCCTTTTTGACCTTTTCTTCCGCCGCCACTGAAATGGTTTTTGAAAACTAGAAACCTACAGACAGACGGACCGACGGAAATGGGTTGTCACCCCATTTGTCGTGATGTACGTCATATAACATCCAATTATCAAAATGTTCGCGATTACAATACTTCCCCGCCAGTAGGCGTGAGAAGTAAAAGACAGCTGCTATGCGTAGAAACGCTCATATTTGTATGTAATCATAATTAAAATTTTTCTTTCTGGGCATTTACGATATAGCTAAACATTTAAACCTAGCACGTGTATGCCAAAAAGTGCACGTACTGTCGTACCTTTTCTTTGTCGGTTTTCTATACATTTTCTAGTCACTCTCTTCAGCATTGTCCATCACAGAACTAAAAATTTGACCCCAAAGTAGCATTTTAGGTGTTTTATGGTAGCATTTTTCAGTCTACAGAATATCAGTTATCAATTAAAAAACATGGAAAAACTGCAAATTTCATGGTCATCCGTACCTCGATCATTTCTCAAAGCCCCCCAAGGTCCAACAGTTTTTCAAAGTACGTATCTTGAAGTGACATTAGGTTTGACATAACGTAGGTTTTTCTACAATACGTTAACTTAGCACTAGCTGATGGACACTTGTTGTGAACTCGTTCTGTAGTTGTACGTGCTGCCTAAACTTGACATGATGCTTCAGTTATCAATGTTTGGTTCTGATGTAATGTAACATCTGCTTCAGAGATGGCATTATTGGAGGTCTAAACTGTAAGTTGTATACTATAGCTGGAACGAAATGGCAATAGGTGCATAGTGAGGATTTGTGTGCTAATATGTTTGTGATGATGATAATCCAATTAGTTTCTTGTCTCAAATACACTTACTTGAAATTTAAAGCTAGAAATTAGTTGCGCATGCACTTTTTTTATTCATTCTTATAATATGCAAATTTGCTGAATTTCAAAAATGAAAGAGATAAGAAAAGAAAATTCCTGCTTGGTGATGTCAATAGAAAATATAAATCAGCGCCTACATGTGAGGCGCTGCGAAAATGTTTGATGTGTGATGTGTCATTCATAATTTTTCTGTGATGTAGCTTAATTGCACACATCCCGGGGGCAGTGTCGATTTCCCGTAATCCTCAACTTTTTGAAAACAAGAAAACGGAAAAAATCGTAATTTATAACTATGAACATAACCTGTCTTCAGAGAGGACAACATATAAATAACCCGTCGGGCACAGCTAATAGATATACTTTACTGGCAGCATATTCAGTAATAATTTCCTCACATAGCAAATATCACTGATTTTATACACATGCACACCAATACACGTAGTCAGCCAGATGCGATCTTGCTACTCAACCAACTTTCTTTCTTTCACATCTTCTCAGAGATAAACACTACAGGCTACTCGGCTTCACAGAACATATAATTGCTTTCTGCAACCAACAATGCGTGTCGTTGAGTTATTCCTCCATAGATGGACGCTGACAGCGATCATAGCGATCAAACGTGGAATGAACTATTTGCACCCTAAAAACTACTTGGCCTGCAAGATGACATTTTGTCGTTTTTTACGTTAGGAGAAATTGAGAAAAAACAAATCTGACGGTGTAAAAATATATAGGATATTCCATTTAAAATTTTAGAGAAACAAAGTTTTGCAGCATCCTTTTTTCAAAAACTAGTAGTAAACAAGCAAACGATATCGTCCTACCTTGTCAAGAATTTGGTTGGTAAACAAACCATGAAATAACCTTTTGGCGAAAAGTTTCCATCTATAAGGATAAAATACGGGTCTGGATATATTGGTGAAACGGATTTTACAATTTTCAGTCGTTTTCGGCTATATTGATATAACCTCTGAGTGACGTAAAATTGACAAGTTGACTGTTATTCCTGATTCATACTACATAAGAAATTACTATTCAGAGCGTCATGACCCGCAAAAAGAAGAAGGAAGAAGAAGAACAACAAGAAAAGCCTGAGAATGAAACAAACTGCATTACAGATGAAGAAAATCGACCTGATTCGACTAATGTAAAACAGATATTAGAAGAGAATCGATCCCTGAAGAAAGCACTAGCAGAAAAGGAGGAAATAATTCGTCAGCTCAATAACGAAAATTTAAAATTAACCCCTTACCGCATACTGTCCCAAATTTGGCACACGTGAAATATATGTTATTTTTCAAGTCCCCCAACAGCTAAGGACCTTAACCTAAACTGTTCCATATCTGGCACGCTCGCTTCTCTATCGCCAAGAAACATTGTCGCCCTCTAGCACGTATTTTATGTATTGCGCCAGATTTCGTTTAGCGGCCCGTAAGCACGTGTTACTACATTCGCTTATAAAGTTGTGGCGGCCATAAAACGTTCAAAAATCAAATTTTTGGTGCAACTAAAATTATCTACGTTCTGGTAAGTATGTCTTATTGTGACTTTTGTAAAATTATGTCCTTCAACTCATACACATGTTGATTTATCGTCATTTGTTTTCTTGTGCCATAATCGGAACAACTTGCAGTAAAAGAAAAGCTGACTATATTATTGCCCCTTTTTTCAGATGGATGCAAAACGATTTTATGGTGCTAAAACTGTTGGGATTCCGAACTTGAGTGGCAGTGAAGATGAAAATTTGTCAGATGATGATTTTTACCGAAAAACATTTTCTCAAGAGAGAGACGGTCGAAGATATTGTGATTAAAGAAAGTGATTTTTCCGATAGTGAAGACGATGTTCCCCTTTCAACTCTCATTGCAGCAAACAAGGCAAAGGAAAAAAACAAGGTTTGTTTTGATTGGGAAGATAAACAGTTGAGGGTATCTGATGAAGACATATTATTCAAAGGATCTCACTCCTTAGGAAAAGATATTTTGAAAAATCGTGTGCCAGATTGCGAATTTCCTAAGGAATCTATGATGAAGAAAAAAGGTAGAGGTACAATTATGGAGAGAGTTGCTCAAGTCGATGGCGTAGATGTTTCAGTAGTTTCCTGGTATGATAACAAAATAATTACCACGGTATGAACTTACGTAGGCAGTCGGCCCATTTCCGAAGTACAGAGATTTTGCAGAAAGGAAAAAAAGCACATTATGATTCCTCGTCCAAAGAGTATAGAAATATACAACAACTATATGGGAGGTGTTGATCTACTTGACTCGATGTTAGGATACCATAGGATACTTATAAGGTCAAAAAAATTTTACCTAAGAATATTTTTCCATTTCCTCGACATGTTGTGCTGTAATAGTTGGATATTGTGGAGAAGAGCTCTCACTGAGAACAATTCTGATGACTATTTGCCACTGGCTCAATTCAAACTTGGTTTAGCAGAAATTCTAACAAGATCCCACGTAACTTCAAAAAAGCGAGGCAGACCTAATAGCTCACTACAGCCTCAACTGGATTTAAAAAAAGGAAATAATATCCTTTTGCGGAAATACCAGCCCAAGAAATTCGTCGCGACAATGTGGGACATCTTCCTGAGTGGCATGAAGATCGCCAAATTTCCTGAGTGTAAGGGAAAAACACAAGTTTGGTGTGATAAATGTAATGTTAGATTATGTTTGAACAAAGACCGTAATTGTTTTCGCCGTTTTCATCTGGAGTAAATAAATGTTTATTCAAAATTACATTTAGTTTAGGTGTTTTCCCATGTATTTTTAACGATTTATAACATATATGGTTTCAGTAATTTTTTCCGTTATTAGTCAACTATTGCAATTTGTGTCAAATTTGGCACATGTCGAAAAAGGCTATTTTTTTAAAAAAAAAGCATCAATAATTTTTCTATATATTTTTCTAGTTACTTTTCTAATATGAACTAGCACATATATTTATTTTAACAAAAACAAAAAAATCATGCAGTAAGGGGTTAAAAGAGCAGCAGCTGTCAGTAACCGCAAGTATTACTGAGAAGGATGCCATAGCATCAGCATTAAATAGAATTAGCATGAGACTAGACGAAGTTGAGAAAAACCAGTTAGTAAAAGAAAATTCATACGCACAAATCTTAAAACAAACGATACCTATTACTAAAAAGCAATCGCTGAAATGCATCACAGTTATTCCAAAAGAAAAACAATCTTGCGATAATACGAGAAGAGAATTGAGTAAGAGAATAAATCTTTCATCTCTGAACATTCAAATAGAAAGTGTAAGAAACTCAAAAAATGGCGGAATTGATATAAAAATTGATGAATCAAATCATAATAAACTGAAAGATGAACTTCAAAATAAATTGAATGAAAAATACCAAGTTACTGAACCAAAAATGTTAAATCCAAAAATTAAAATAATAAATTATAAAAGTAGTGAGAAACCGAATGAAAAGCAAATTGAAGAAGATCTTATACATCAGAATTATATGATTCAGAGTGGAGACATACAAGTAAAGTTTATAAAAAACAATTACACTATCTACGCGGAAACTTCTGGAAAGCTATTCAAAAAAATCTTCGAAGACAATAATAGAAGAATACTTCTGGGGTGGCAATGTTTGACAGTATATCAAAATAACGACATTTCTCAGTGTAGAAAATGCTACCGTTTTAATCATACAGAAAAGAATTGCAGGAATGAGAAGATATGTGCCAACTATGGCAACGGTCACGAAGGAGAAAATTGTAAGCATGTATCAATAGAATGCTGCAACTGTAGATATGGAAATGAAAGATATAAAAAAAATTATAATATTAACCACTCACCTACCGACAAAAACTGTCCATCATACAAATATTATCAGGAAGAACAAAACTTAAGGATACTTTTTTAAAATTCAAGTTCATCTTTTGATACTCCTATCTCTAAAGAGGACCTAAAAATGTCAGTAAATACATAAATACATCAATGATTTCCAAATTCCAAATATTGCAACAAATATAGCACAAAACGTCGATGAACTTAATTTATGTACACAAAATTCTGATGCAAAATTTCGAATTTTTAATATGAACATAAGGAGTATAAAACACAACATTGATTACTTAAAAAGACTACTCGACCAAATTTGGTACAATTTTGATCTAATAGTTTTAACTGAAACGTGGCAAGTGGTTGATATTTCTTGCTTCAATTAGCAGGGATATGACACGCTGTATAACTTTGGCACTTATAACCAAAACGATGGGGTGATAGTTTTTGTAAGAAATGAGCTACAATATAATCATTCACTTTCACCGATGGAATCAAAATTTTAAACATAATGATCCAAATTAACCATAACAAAATTGAGGTATCTGCAATTTATCGTCCGCCATGTTCAGAACCCCACGAGTTTTTGAAGAATATCGAATTTTTTTTCAAAATCAAAATAAAGTTCATTTAAAGCAACATATTTTCTTGGGAGATGTCAATATAAATATTTTGGACAATGATCCCATCACAAATAAATACTTGAATATCCTATCAAGTAACGGATTTCTGTCCTATATAAACCTACCTACAAGGTCCATCAGTGGCACATGTATAGATCACTGCTTTGTGAAAGACATATCCAACAAAATTACTTGTTCACCAATAATCCTAGAAAGCGATATTACTGACCACTTCTCCACTATTTTACTGATATCTTCAAATGAAAAACATTCTAACATTCCTACCGTTAATAACAACCAGGAAAATTACAAATTTTTTCTCGACAATTCAAAACTAATATCAAATGTCAAACAAGAATCCTGGGAACAATTATACTCTATAAATAATATAGACAAAGCAACGGGACTGTTCATAGAGAAAATAAAAAAACTAATAGATATTAGTACCAATAAAGTAATAATTAGTCACAAAGAGAAAAGCAGAAATGCCTGGATTACCAAAGGATTAATAACATCGGCAATAGAAAAAGAAAGACTATATAATGTAATGAAACTAACGCCAACTACAGAGAATACCGACTGTTACAACCAATATAAAAATAAATTTATTTATTAAATGATCCTAAGCGGCTTTGGACAACTATTGATGAGATTACTGGAAAACAAAATTTAAAGAGTGTGTCACTGAGTTAAATACAACATCGGGAACAGTATTAAAAAATACTCAACAGATATGCGATGAATTTGTACAATTCTTTACTGACATAGGCGAAAATTTAGCAAGTAATATACAAGCAAATGTACAAAATACTCAGCCTCCAAAAAGAACTTTGAACTCATTTATTTTGGATAAAGTCGAACAATATGAAGTATACACCACTGTTATGTCCTTAAAAAATCGGAAAAGTCCTGGGTTCGATGGTATTAAAAGCGAGCATTTGAAAATTATAGCCGAGGACATAACAGAACCACTCACTTACCTAATCAACAAATGCTTTGAATCTGGCATATATCCCTCAATTTTAAAAAAAGGTAATATAATACCGATACATAAATCAGGAACAAAAACAGATGTTAACAACTATAGACCAATATCAATAATATCCAGTGTAGCAAAGGTTTTTGAAAAAGTTTTATCTACTAGAATGATTCGATACCTCACAAAATTCAAAATTTTAAGTGCAAATCAATATGGATTTACAGAAGGGAAGGCTACATCGGACTCAATAACTAAAATTGTAAATCAAATATATCAAAATATTGATAACAGAATCCCTTCAATATGCATTTTTGTTGATTTAAAGAAAGCTTTCGACACAGTTAATCACAAATTATTATTAGAAGCATTGGAGAGAATTGGTTTCAGAGGAAACGCGTACTCACTGATCGAAAGTTATTTGTCAAATCGCCCACAATCTGTGCAGATATCAGGATCATTTAGTAAAGAAATGTATATTAAGTGTGGTGTCCCACAAGGAACTGTCTTAGGTCCGCTGTTATTCAATATATATTTAAATGATATTTTCCAAATTAATTGTATTGGCAAAATAACTAGTTTTGCAGATGATGCTGCAATATTATATGAAGGCACTGACTGGTCTGATCTGAAAAATGTAATTGAAAATGATTTTATCAAAATTATTCGGTGGTTTAACAGTAGAAAATTAAGCATTAACTCCTCTAAAACACATATTTTACCATTTGGATCTTATGCTAGACATCTGCCAAATTACACAAATTTCTCCTTCAATATTAATGATCAAAAAATGCAAATTAATAGAGTGCCCAACATAAAATACCTTGGAGTGGTCTTGGATCCTCACTTACGATGGGACATCCATGTCAATTATATTTTAAAGAAAGTTAGATTTGTATCCTACAAAATTAAATACCTTGAGAATATATTGACAGAAAAATATCTTCACACATTATACCATGCACTGATTGAGCCTCATCTCACATATGGTATATTAGCATGGGGAGCTGCATGTTCCTCACATATCTATAATTTAGATGTTTTTCAAAAAAGTATTCTAAAAATGATATTTAAAAAACCGAAACTTTATCCCACTGAAAAATTATATGCAGATGTTCGAATGTATGATATAAGACAGCTTTATTTCTTACACAGTATCACTCACTACCATAAATTTGTAAACACCGACCAAAAAATTAAACATAATCATTATACCAGATACAAAATTCGTGGCACAGTAGTTCCTCAACCGCATAAATCTATAATGCAGCGATCATATCTCTATTTAGCGCCTAAATTTTATGAAATTATACCTAAAGTCTTGAAAGATTTACGTTTCGGAAATTGTTTCAAAAGAAATTTAAAAAAGTGGCTACATTCTATCTAGGACTGAAATTCATAAACTCATAAATACGAACATCAACTAAATACATAATCTACTGTAGCTAATTTTTGTCCTTTTTTGTCATTTGCATTCTACAGTTTCAACTTAAATTATTGGTCCATGTACAGGCGATGCCTTCTATTGGGCCTGTTTTGATTTTATATTTATTTACTCATATTGTTTGTTATCTTTGTACATTGAGTAAATAAATATTATTATTATTATTATTATTATCCTGATAAAGATGACTTACCTTTTTCATCCTCTTACCAAAATTAAATAAAAAAAATGGCAGAAGTCAAAGCCTTCAATGATATGCACTCCTTCAGACAAATGATCCTTCTGAATATCTAATATAATAAAGGGTGTTCTATTGAAAAAAAAACAAGTTACTGTGCCACAGAATTGTGCATTGTGTATATTTCCAAGTAATTATTAGACACACCAAAAAGATGTTAATCTTGTTGCGCAAGCCACTTTCAAATACCTTGTATAGTTTTTCTATTAAACAACTTTTTATTTTTGTTGGGAAACCCTATATATAAATGCTCACGTGATTCTCATCATATCGACAAGTTCCCTGAGGATATTAACGACGAGTTACTTTTTGTAAAATGGTGTAGGGGCTAAGCCACCAAATTTTATACACTGTATCTCCAACAGAAAGTTTTTCTAGGCTTTGCATCCATTGGGACATTTGATCAGCACATGAGTTATCATTATACGAATTTTCTCTGAAATTGACCGATGTCCAAATAAAATATGTTTTATACCTGGTACTTTCCCTGGTAAAAAACATTCGATAATACCTGGGTCGAGCCGTGAACTTCGTCTTCTAGGTAAGGTTAGCTAGGCCACTGGAATTTCATCCACGTGCATCAAGAATATCCATAGTCTGCAATTT